GCTGCTCAGCCACAGGAAAGGAATATGTGAGAAGACAGGACTTTAAATGTATTGAAGAATCTCTTGAAGGCTGAGGATTTTTTTATTAGTAAATATGTAAAGCATTTAATAATTTTAATTTCATCCCACATTAAATTAAATTACACTAGTTCCAAATCTTCAAAGTGTTGATAATTCTTGCATCATCATATCTTTTTTTTAACGTTAATCAAAGGCTTTATAACTTTGGTAATTCACAATAACAAGATGCCCATACAATCAGAAGTGTAACACAATACCCAACCTAGATATACCAGCTATCTTTGGTGGAGACATGTGAACATCTGCCTCCATGTTTCCCTCCCTCTCGTCTACTAGCTACTCCTTCTCTCCTTACTCCTCCTCTTCCTCTCTTTATTCCTCCCAACATAGCTCTTCCTACATATCACCCTTCCTGTTAAGATAAAACTTTTCTCTCAAAAAAAAATTAGAGCATAACTATACCAATTTGTATCAGTAAGGTACAAGACAGACCTAATACTCAGTCCATCATTTTGTTGACTAAACAGAACCTCTGTCATCTCTTCTAACTAAAAGACTTAGTTCTGAACCTGACTTTTTCTTGGTTTAGAATGGATGTCAGCTGAAAACCATCCTCTCAAGTCTTTTCTCTCAAAGCAAATAGCTGAGATTGGCTATGAGACTATAAGTCTTCAACTCCATCAGAAATCCAGAATGACTGAATGAACTGAAATTATGGGAAGCACAAAGCATAGTTCCTAAAACTTAGCCAATTTATAGAGACCACTGAACACCTGGACAGTCCCTATACTACAAAACGTTGGAGCATCTGATCTTCAGCCTTCTGGCCCAGGATCATCTGACAGACCTAGTGATGCAGAATTATTAAGGGCTGATTACTCTGTCTTGGCAGATATAATCAGACAACTACTCTGCAAGTGTGTCCTTTTCAGTACAGTAATTTGTCTGTAGATTAAAAGAGGCAATTCTTGCCTAGTGGCTGTCTCACCACAACTGGAGTAACTTCAAAGACGTTCAATTTCTTCTTAGTATCCAAGACAGGAAGCTGTCAGGAGCAGATAGGTCTCTGATCAAAATGAACCTTAATGCAGAAATGTTTGTAACATCAATTCTGTGGACTTCTGATGTTTTGAAAACCAACTATCCATATGAGGCAATCTGGACTGTTGTCTGTTATCATCTGTCAGCTAATTCAAAATAAAATATAGAAAACACCCTGACAATAAACTCAGAGCCATGAATTTGCTATAGTCCCTTAACTCACAGGCTATCCATCTCAAATCAGCTTTAAAAAAAAGTTAAAGACGGACTGGGCCTAAACCTTGTATCCCTAAAGGTGCTATATAGGCACAATGCCTATGAGAGAAACAATATTAATCCCACTTCTATATCAATAAGAAACTCGTACCAATGAAAACCTGACAAATACAGATGCAGATAGAGCCTACCATTAGACTGAGCCCTGGGACCCTAATGGAAGAGTAGGGGGAAGACTTAAGGAGCTGAAAAGGATGGCAACACCATAGGAAAAAAATAATCAACTAACCAGAGCACCCAGAGTTTCCAGGGACTAAACCACCAATCAAAGAAGAGGGAACCATGACTCCAGATACATATGTAGCAGAGGATGCCCTTATCAAACATCAATGGGAGCAGAGGGAGGCCCTTGGTCCTGTGAAGGCTTGATGCTCCATCATAGGGGGATGCTAGAGCTGTGTGGCAGGAGTGGGTGGATGAGGGAGGAGCACTCTCATAGAGATAAATGGGAGAGGTAGAGGGAGATAGGATGGGGCTCTGTGGAGGGGAAACCAGGAAGAATATCCTTTTAAGTGTAAATGAATAAAATAATTAATAAAAATAAGACAAACATTATGATTAAATACAAAAAATACTAAGTCTTCATTGAGAGAAAGTAACTGGAAATGACATATGTAAATTTATTTCTCCATAAAGATTTCTACTGCTTGTCATATTTATGCCAAATTTGTTTCAGTGGTCGAAAGAATTCACAGTATGGAGTTAGACAGAAACATATTTTCAAGACCATGCAACAAAACATTTATTACAAGTTTTTTGTTTGATATTTCTACGTGCCTAGAATCAACACAATACTAGGTAAATATTTAAGAGGAAGAATCATCCTAGGGTTGATAACTATAAAGCATATGCTTTATATTATAAGTTGTCCCATTACCCCAGAGTATAAGAAAGAACGTTTACTCTGCAAAAAGTTGAGCAGAAGCCTATTTAGAAAACTTACTAGCATTATCACCTTTGTAGTTAACATGAAGTTGTCAAAACTAGAAAGATATTACTTAACCCTAACAATTTAGCTGTCCATTCCTAATAATCTTAAGACAATGCTCAGGTTCAAACAAGTTTGGTTTTGTTGTTGTTGTTGTTGCCTGTTTTGTTTTACTTGTGAGCTATCTTATTAAAAAATTAAATTCATTCTATGAGATATTGATATTTCTTGTGAGGATAAATTCAAAGCAAACTGAAGGGCACCATCTTACACGTGTAATGTTTTACTTTACTGCCATGTCTGGTTTTATCTCACCTATAGGGTAATATTCCCTTAGGCCACTAACAGATGCATCCTCATTCATGTACAAATTCACTGACTCATACGCCCACAAACATCCACAAACACACCACACACACACACACACACACACACACACACACACTTTATAAATGCTTGACATATGTAGATTGAAATATTCCAGGTTTCCTGTGGTTTGATGACATGATTTTCCATTACTTGTTCCAAACTTTATAGCCATTCTATGAAGTCAGTTCAACTTGGAAATAATTGTCTGCCAAAACTGAGTTTCTCTGGTGAACTACTCAACACAGCCTTGGTTTGACAAAGACTATTCTTTGTGTGTTGTTAGTCTTGGCTTAGTAACACATTTTATCCTTTCCACTTGAACAGTTCAGCTGCTGTTCTTTTAACTAAACTTTAGAACTCTGAAACCTACTTCTGGAAAATAAATGTGAGTCACTTACCTGGTGAAGATGAAAACAGACTTTTCCAAGTGTGTGTACTTACTCTAATTTCCACATAAATGAGGTTTCAGCTTACACTCTAAATGAGACAACATCATTGCTCAGGGTAAAGTTTATTCATGCTTAAACAGTACCCAACTTGTATATATTTTAAAAATTCTATGATTTAATTATAAAGAATTTAATTATTCAGGCTGGCTTTAGAGGTTATGTTGCTATAATAGTGTTCCAAAACTTGATGTGACTTAAATCATTCAAATAAACTAGGCTTCCCATGAAAATATTGCTAAGCCCACAACTCTAATTGTCATTTACACTTTCCATCTTATCTCAATGGAAATTGTCCTTCTGAAACCCCATTAACAATAAGTCCTAATATGAAAATTTGATAACCTCTTAAGAGACTTTGTCTGCAGGATACACAATTTTGCCAACAATTTATTTTCTAAACAAAATGACTGATCTTACGGAAATAGAGCACTATTGATAGTACAGGCCCTACTTAATTAAGCTGACTGCTCATATTGCATGGCCGTTATGAAAAAATAAATTGAAATTGCTCTCTTGTTTTAAGTTCACAATGAAATCTCTGAAGTTAAAGTAATTTTTCTTGTTACATCCTATGAAGCTATGTTTCCATGTTTGCAAATTCAGAGAAACTAGGTCATGAGTAATTACCAAGCAAGATGTGTTTACAAAGGTAATTTTTCTCATGTGAATTTTCAATGAAGTCAGTAAGCATTAATATTGAAAATATAATGCAGTAAGTGGATGATACCATCTCTGTAAAGGAAAATCATTCAAATAGAAAGACCAAGAAAAATGTGAGAACTTATTAAATACATGTATTTGAGTTTGTGAACTGAATTCTGCATTCGTTTTTCTTAGCAGAAAAACCATAGAAACCTCAAATTTGATGATTCATACAATTTAACAAAAATATCTTTGTGACAAATTTATATTCAAACTTGTGTTTTGAAAAAAGTTTGTCCAATTGAGTGGTTCTACTTATATCTTCAGACACATTTTCTGATAAACATACAAGCAAATTCTACTAAATGTATAATTGAAATTGCTTTCAACATATACTATTTATACACACAAAAAGCTAGTGGTCATTTTCTATTTTAATTTTATGATTTTTTTAGATAAAAGTATGTGTAAGTATATTTATATATCCCCAATGCATATAGGGAACAGCTCTTTAATAGAGATTATCAAACAAGTCTGCTTTAACACAATGTGCAAACACTGAATTTACACAAAATATACCTCTGTAGGATAGGAAAAGACAATGATCTACATTGCATCTCCTGTCTGTGCATTTTGATGTAAACATCTTCAAAACAAGAAGACATTTTTTCATGATTTTATCAGATTCCACTTGCAGAGGACAAGAACAATCATAGATGAGAAGTTAAGAAAATATTTTTTTAATTATTATTATTCTATAATCTTTTTATCAGTCCAATTGTTATCCTCCTCTTAGTTTGCCCTCTGACAGTTTCTCATCTTATTCCTCCTCCCCTGTTTCCAAGAGGATGTCCCCACCCCCACCTCAAATAAGAAAAATGTAAACTGTATGTTTTTGGGCAGAGGGGCTAAGTTGGTGGTAGAATGATTGCCTAGCTTGTGTAGGATCAATCAATAGCATAGCAAAAATAAAAAAAAAACACATATACTATAAAATTAAAAGAAAAAAAGGATAATTTAGGAAGAGGTAGGGGTAACTAAGGAGAAAGAAATATGAAAATAGAGTCAAAGTTGTGTCACTATGTCACTATGTCACAAAATGTCACTATGAAATAATTTGCTTTGTATAATATACACTAATGATTTGAAAATAAAATTATACATATGTTGCATTATGCAGAATTTTTAATATGTTTTTAAAATAGAAAATGAACTGATGATATGCAATTTCTCTAATAGGTTTACACAAAATAAGAAGACACAAAATGAGAGCATTATCAGTGAAACCACTTTTATTTTTTTTTCCACATAGATAACTTTAGGTCAACTACAAAAATCATGAAATGCAGAACAGATCATGGGACTGCACACTCAAGCATCACTGGAGTGACAAACAGGTTTCCCCAGATGACTGTTAAGAGAAAAATCAAAGGAACCAGGATACCATAAACTCATATTTAAGTAGTAAACATGTCAGATATTTAAAAATAATAAATACAGAATAGCAGGAGAGAAACTAATATCATAAAACAGCATGGAGTATATTTTATTTTCTTTAAGACAGATGAAATTTCTAGGCACAGTTTTAGGCATTAAAGAGGACACAGAGGCATAGGTTAGTGTGAGCTGCTCTGTACAAAAATACAGTCTGAATAAATTACATTGCTAGCCATACAATTAGACAATCACTTACCAGTCAGTTCACTGTATGTTTAATAATATACAGGTACATGCTAATCCATATATATCATTTATATTTCAAACACGTAAGTCTCTCTATATTTGTCTTTTAAATTTACACGTTGACCTTACAAAAAGAAAATACTTGTGCAAGAAATCTGAATAGCTAGCCCTGCTGAATACTG